TGAAAAATGCTTCAGCATTTTAATATCTAAGTTAGGTATGTTGAATTTGAAAATCTGAATGTTTTTATAAAATTTATTCAATAAGTTGATAATCTTAATTTTTGTTAGTCAAAATATTTGAGTGATAAATTTCTGATTCTCATATTTATTGAATTTAGTTTATGTCAAATTCAATGTTTTCAAATATTTGTATTTTCAAAATATAAGTCAGTATTTCATTTGTTCTCTGATCTAATGTTTCTGAATGTGGAATCTATATCCAAGGGAGAGTGTTTGAATTTTAAATATTTTTTATCTGATCATATTTCTAGAGGGGGGGTTAAATATTTTAATTGATTTGTGATTTTAAGTGTGGATTTTAACTGATATATTTTTTACAGGTATTTTTGAAGATAAAGTGTTGGACGATGAAAGCCTTATCCGGACATAGGCTTGTCCGATGAGGACCCTATCCGGACAAAATGTTGTCCGGTGAAGGCCCAATCCGGACATAGTTGTGTCCGATGAGGAGGTTATGTAGACATTTCTTGATCGATTTGGTGATATTCTTCAAGTCTTATGCGATGAACTTGGTCTCCGGATAGTAGTTGTTTAAATTTCTTGCTTATTCTTTGTTGAACGATGAGTTTAATTATCGTTTAAAGCTTGGCCGATGAGCATGTTTATCGACCAAAGGGTTGGATGATAAACCTCCTCATCGCTCAAAGCTTTGATCGATAACTTTGTTCATCGTACAAGGTTTTGTCCGATGAAGCCTTGTTATCGGACAAAGCGTCAATCCTTGAGGAATTTGTATCATTTTAAATCCGTATGACTCATTTTCATCTAATTAATCTTTGCCACATCGATTCATTTTTTACCCTACGTAAAGGGAGTCCAATTTCCTTTTCATTTTTACTACATCTCATTCTTACTTTCATTCTTCATCGCCTACCTTATTCATCGGACGAACTTCCATTGACTGACTGATCTCATTGATCAAGATTCAATCTATTAACTGACACTTCTTGGGATTGTTCTTGAACTAATCTTGGACTTCTAATTCCTATCCTTCATATATTTCTTAAAAGGTTTGTATTGTTGTCTTAATCAGATTCTTTACTAGACTATTTGTGAACTTGAACCGTTAACCTGATCTGTTAAATGACTGATAAGTATTCTTAATCTGTTGAATGATGACTGATGAGAGATTTGTTGAGCGATAAGACAGGTGTATGAGACTTTGAGAGATGAGCGTTATAATCCTGAGCGGTGAAAGATAATTTGTTATGTCTGGTGAGAAAATAAAAACATTGAACGATGAAACTTATTTTTTTTGATCGATTGACCGGAGAAGATGAATTGGTTTTTATTGGGTTCAAGATTGTGCTTAAAATGATTGTATTCAAGTTCTCTCATTTTGTAATAGTTAACTTTACTACTTTCCTAGTATAAATAGATTTTAGTAGGTTAATTGTAATTAGTTCATGCTAATCATTTTGTAATTCTCTCTCAAGAAATACACATACAAACTTGGTGAAAATCTCTCTCTCATCTAATTGTGTTCTTGAAGAATTTATCTGATTGTGATTGATTATTGGGATTCACAATTTTGATCGGAGTGTTGAACTATTTTGAGTGGTGAAGCGTGAACGTTAAGAGATAAACTTCTGACCGGTGAGGTTTTTATTGATTGTGTTCGGTGAGAATTCAGTTCTTTGTGCGATGAACATTCTCTAACTGTTAAGAGTGTTCTTGAAATTTTGACCGGTGAGGATCTTGAATTTTTAGTCGGTGAGAGAATTGACCGGAGAGAGTAATTTTTTTAATGTGTTAGATTTTTTTTTAAGTGTGAATAAATTTTTTTTAAGTATTAGTAAACTTTTTTAAGTGTTGGTAAATTTTTTTAAAAGTGTTGGTTTTTTTTCGTGTTTGTTTTGTTTTGTATATTAATTTTTTTTTGATGTTTGTTTTTCTTTGTTAGTTTTTTTTTAAGTACAACTTTTTTTAGTTTGATTTTTTTATAAGTTGATTTTATTAGAATTTTTTTTTAATGTTAGAATCTTTGGTTGATATGGTTTTTTAGCTTAAAAGCATGAGTGAATTTTCAGTTTGTGAGACAGTTATAAATTTATCGGCCAAAAGTGGTCGTTTCAGTTTTTGAAACTATTTTACGAATTGATTTTATAATGGGTCTAATCTGTTTAACATTTTACATGTAAAAATGACGATTGCAGAGCATCAACACTCAATTCAGGAGTCTGATGACGAAAACACAATCTCATCTATTAGATCCGAACCACCTTCTTACTCCTAGTTAGAAAATAATCAAGACCCAGATGAAACCATTTTTCCAAAAGCCCTTTACGTAGACTTGAAACCAAACAATCACTACCTTAACTTTAATGTCTTCCGAATACCCAATCATACTTGAAATCATAAAAGGCCACCCTGTTGGTCCCGTTAGGGTCTACAAGATGTGTACGACAGTTTGTAAAAGGGGGGGGGGGGGATGAATACAAACACAATAAACTTTTCAAATTTAAAATATATATTGATGAAGAAGGATCAATATAGATTTTACAAGATTGTTTGCGGAAAGATAATGTAAAGATAACTTATCTAAACAATCTAAGTTATACACTAATTCTCTGCAAAGAGAAATGATTTGATGTTTAAGACTTAGAAGAAAGTAAGTTTTTTATGGGTAAGAACTATTTAGAATACTTAAAAAGGGATTCTAACTTGCTTTTGAAGATAAGTGTAATGTGTTCTTTAGATGTGTGTTCTTTCACGTATGAACGTAAGTTAGGGTTCAAGATTAAGAGTGAGTATCTCTGCATGGAGAGAGAACACATCTATTTATACCCATTGCATTAAATGTACATTTAATTCAATGTAGTAGGGTTTGAAAACGTGTCAAACCTTTAGAGAAAGACTTGTCCTTTGCTACAAAGAATAGTATAAAAGCCCATTCATGAGCAGACATCCTTTCATGGAGTTGGTGGGTAGTAGAGTCAACTAATCGGATCCGTACCGTACTATGGTCTAGAAAGGGTATGGGTTTGTCCTTTGTGTGTATAAGGACAAGACAAAAACAATCGTGCTCAACAAGCTTCTTTTGATCGCTGAATGCTGGAATAACTTGAAGGTCTCTTCTGCATTCGCTGAGGCTTAGGCAGTCTTCACACATGTATAGACTAGGTTGTAATCACTGAATACCGCTTCAGATCACGAACTCACCAGTCTCTAATCTTTAGTTTCAGTCTTCGACTTTAGCTGAAGGTTCTTTGGTGTGAGTTTTGTCTTCTTGAAGTATCGTTGTCACTGATAGATTTACATTACATGTTCTCAGCGATCACTGAACAGACTCAGTGATGATCGCAGGAACTGAAGGACAAAAACATAAATACTTCGTATAAGGTAAAAGAGATTATCATCAAATCACTAAGAAAGAGGATCAACAATCTTCCCCTATTTGATGATAACAAGGAAAAATAAAGAAAGTTGTCTTATCAAATAACGGTAAGGAAAGTTACGTATAGAGTACATGTCCCTTTTAACTGTTTTGGGATCATTTTTAGTGAGTCAGTATTTACTGAGAAAATTTTCTTAAGTTTAAGTCTAAGAAAAAATTAAAAGAAGGGAACTGAAACTGAAAGCATATTCACTGACTTATATATTGTCAGTGAATGTAAGAGTAACATTGGAACTCATAGACTTGTGTCCCTATTACTCTTTTCAGAGATGTTTTTCAGCGATGCACAAAAATACTTATATTAATTTCACAGGAAATATTACAAGAGTTTCAGTACATGTCTAAACTTACAAAATATAAGAATAATCACTGAAAGTATACATAGAATGTAGTTTATAGGGAATGGACAATATTACAAAGGAAAGAAACTAGTCTAAGTCGCTCAACTTAATGAAACCTAGTACATTTTCTCCAAGCTCCTTTCGACGTAGAAACTCCCTTCTTATCTTTCGGTCCAACATTTCACCTCTGATGTCATTATCTAGCGAGAACCTTTGATATCCGAGGTGTTCCATAGGGCATAGATCTAACTCAGGCATTCTCTGAAATCTCACTTCTTCATAGTCAAGGAATATAAGTCCTAATTTAGGTTTGAAATGCACAATGTTGGGTACATAAGAACCCTTCGCTGGTAGTGAGATTTTTAGCATAGAGAGGTCTGGCTTCTTTGAAGCCTTCAGGACTTCTTCCAAGGAGAACTTTGTTTCATGTTCGTTCCTCAGGGATGGTCCATTATTAAGGCTTGAAGTTCTTTTTCTTTTTCCTCCTTTCTTCAGTGTAGGCACTTCAGGGACTGCGACATATCTGGACACTTTGTTGATCAACTCATTGATAAGGTCTTCGATAATCGTCTTATGTTTGGACTTTGAGCGCTGAAGGGCTGGTCGGATCTCCAACCATTCGCTATAGCCATATTCGCCAAGGTAGGAGGGATGCTTGGTCAAGGCCTCGAGATTGTCCCTGGTGATGAGCATGGAGAGCAGCATCCCACCGTCTTTTGATCATCCGCTGATGCTGATGCTCTTGATCGGGTGAGGGCTGATTCTTTTATTGATATTGGCTTTGTTCTAGCGCTTGTCTCGCTCGGCTAGCGTTAGGGTTTTCTTGCGTTCAACTTCTGCAATAGATAGAAGCTAGCCTGGGCCTGGACAATGTTCACCATCTTTTTGGACTTTCTTTTGGGAAGAACTTTTTCAGCTAGAGACTTGGCTAGATTTAAGTTGTCCTCAGTCTGCTTCTTTTGGATTGCAAGTTCTTCCTCAGCTCTTAAGGCCTCGAGTCTTTCAGCGTCTGTCAGACAGTGAAACTCACCACAACTAGAGGTATGAAGAGGAATTTTTACTCTAGTTTGGTCAAGTGACTTCCTGAGTTGAGTCATCTGCTGGTCGGTAGGAGTGCTGGGGGTTGGGTTCTAAGCGACCCATTCTAGCCGACCGCAAGTAGTAGAGGGTAGATCAAGTTCGTACAAAGAAGTGATGATCACTTAAGATGAGGAGTCTTCATATAAGGGTTGAGGAGATTTGAATAGTACCTTTAAGTTCGTTTCTTGAGCGACGCCTTTGCCTTTCGACTTAGGGCCTTGGTTCGCTTCAAGTGCAGGATCTTCTTCCCTTTGCTCCCCCTGGGATGCAGAATCTTTGAGGGCAACTCCTTTTGTGGCAGTGGCGAGACGCTGGTATTGGATGATGAAGTCGTCTTCGTCGTCATCATCATCATCATCATCATCATCCAGGTCGCTGCCAAAGTCAGGGAGGTCAGGAGAGTCACCTTCCTCATCATCTTCATCTTCATCTTCATCTTCCACATCACTAGAAACAGGTGCAGAGGTGATGGGAAGGTCATCATCACAAGCTTCAGCTCAGATGACATCAACTTCCTCAGCTATAGCAGCTTCACTGGAGGTTGGGATATCACAAACATCCTCAGCTTCAGCTTCAGCTCTATGAGCTTCAGCTTCAGCTTCAACAGTTGCAGGGGCGGCAACAGATGGTCCAACAGTGTTAGGCCTCATCTTCCCCTCGCTGGTGATGGCTTGAGAGCATAATCCAGAGAGTTTCTCAATGCTGTGGAGTTGTAGTACCATCATCTCTTCTTGCCATGTCAGAGCGCTGGCTAGGATGATAGTTGCTTCTCGCGCTTCGTTTAGCTGGGCACGGTCATCAGCAGAGGAGGACGGAAGAGAGTGAGCCAATGCATCATCAGCCCTGCTTGTAAGAGCGGCGATGGCCTCATCATTCGTTCGTACAACATCTTGGAAAACGAAGAGCTGGCTCTTTACATCTTGGACTTCATCTTTGACGGCTGAGAGGTCCGCAACAACGTCGTCTTTTCGAGATATGTCCTTGTGGACCTCGTCCATCTTGATAAGGATAGTCTTGATGATTGGAGGATCAGCTTGACATCCATCGCCATGTCATACTCCTCTTTGTCCATGGCCTAGGCCATAAACGGACATAAGAAAGAAGAAGAGTGAGCAAAAAGAAGCTTTGGGTTAGAGAAAATGAATGGATGGGAAGATGGAGTACCTGAGGGGTCTTCAATGTTATTTGAAGAATTAACGCTGGTTGGCTCTGTGGTGCACTAGAGAGGATGAGCACCAGTATGCTGAGGAGCCTTGAGAGGAGCTACCTCAGGTCAAGTGGTGGGTGTCTCATCATCAGGGAGGACTGGCACTGATGATTCATGGACACGTATTGAGACCAATGATGGAGGAGAGGAGAAGAGGACTGAGACTGAATGTGAGTGTTCAGGCGGTGGCAACGCTGATGTTCACACATTCAGTGATTTGGGTCACTGAGGCGGTTGGGAGAGGTGCCACTGGTACGACAGTAATCTCAGATATCACTGAAGAGTTGGGAAGGCTGACTAAAAGTGCCTCGGGGTTAAGGCTTCTTTTAATAGCTAAGACCTTTTGAGAGGTCACAACCAGAGACGAGGTATTCCCCCTTTTGGCCTTCTTGGCCCTCGAAGGAGAACCAAGATTGGGTTGAGATGGACGTTTTGAAATATGGTTGTGGTGGCTGGGTTAGACTTGGGGGGGGGGGATTTCCCTTGTCTTGGCCACCTAAGGAGGAGAAGGAGGGAATGAAGAGAATTGCACAACTGAAGATAGTGCAACATCTCCATCCCTAAGATTGTGATCCAGAATCCTGGATCCAAGCTTGCAGACAGGAAGGTTACCTTCCGTAGAGTACTTGTCGCCAAAGATCTTGGCGAAGACCATGTAAAGGAACCTGGTGTAGGGCTCCACTTTCTCCCTCTAGCGCTTGTTCAGCTTCAACGCCAGGTCGTCGAAGATGACGATAACATAGTTGATTGGTTGGCGTTGGATCACTGAGACGCCGATTGTAAGAGCGACTCTGGAAGCCTGATCCTGGCCTCAAGTCTTTTTCACCCTTACTCTAGATGAAGTGGGAGAAAAGGTAGTGCCAGACCAGTGACATGCTGTTCTTTTCGATCTTTGAGATAGATTTGAGGGGCTCGCTGGAGTCCTTCTTCATTGGCCATTGGTAGCGAATGTCATCCAGGCAAGCGGTGATCTCAACAGTGGAGGGTTTGCTGGAAAAGGGACCCTTGGGGAATCGAAGTGCGTGTCTTAGAGTTGTCAAGCCGAAGCTAACAGTTATCCTGTTGAAGGTGAAGGAGATTTTCTCCACCAGATAACCGTTCTTATCCTCTTCTTGCACAACCTCAGGAGTCATCCATAACTGTTGAAGGGCCTCCCTAACTATGATAGGTTCATGGTTGAGAGCATAGGCGATTGAGGAGATGCGGAGGAAGGAAGCAACATCCTCGTGGATGGTTTTGTTGGTGGGAATGTCCAACAAGGCAATGTGATTATTGGCCTTGAAGGAGATGTCTTCCACAACAAAGTTACATTCTTGGCAGCCATTTTCTATTTTTGGTAAGGAAATAAGAATGAGAAAAACATTTCATATTATTACTCCAAGATTTATTGAGATCTTTTTAATTTTTAGAACAATAAAAATTCTTTTGAAAAATCAACAAATAAGATATTAGGGTTTTTAAGTAGATTAGTGTCTTGAAACAAGATTATAACCATGAATAAGAATTTGTTATTAATCTTCCTGTTTGTGTTTTAAGAGAACAAGGTTCTTAAAATCTCAAACATATGTTTCATTTGAAGGAACAGAACAGTTCAAAATGGAAATAAGTTTATCAACCTTAAGTTCGTTGAAGAAGGTTGAAGGTTTTGAATGTTCTTGGGAGTTCTTCCTTGCAAAGTCTTTTTGGCAGAGGTTCGTCAACGATTTTTGTAAGCATAAAGAAAATGTGAGGGAAGAGATCCCATATTTATAGATAGGAGGAGAGAGAAGGAAAGTAGGAGAGAGGAAAAATACGACGGTTGAGGAATGGCCATGATGAGAAATATGGCACGTTCTCATCCATGATTGGATGGAAGATAACATAGGTTGTGTGAGTCAGACCTTTTTGCACGTCTCAAAATATTTCATATTGATAACAGAGAATGTCGTCATTAAGACGGTTCATTAACTATTTATTTTAAAACGAAAAAGTTTTAAGAAATTTGAAGAGTCACATTCAATGATAAGATAATCACTAATTAAAAACATTTTAAAACAATTTGATCACTGAAGAAGAGAATTTCTTAGAAGAATAACTTAGAAGAATATGTTAGCTCTCATTTCCTTAAATGTAAAAGTATGGAAAAAGTAAACTGCGAGTTTTGACAGAAGATGATCTGTCACAGAAGACCAC